AAGTCCATATTTTACGCACATAATTAACAACTTTTAGTTAATATTGTGAATTGCTGGCATTGAATAAGCAATAAACGAATGGTAACCTAAGATAAATGGGATTTAAATGCTTTGTTGTTTGCGATTGAACTATCCCCTGCGTTATGCATAAATAATAACAGTAATAGGCAAGTCACTTCCATTACCTAAATCCATAGGCGTTTAATTTCCTCTTCGCTTTTTAGTTATTGCATTAACATGGATTTGGTATAAAGATCTTTCTGTGCACACAATTTTATAAAAAAAAGTTCATGTGAATCGCTCAATAAACCGCTTTATGATTTGACTTGTGGTCGTAAACTTTTAACTTTGTATTAACCTAGGGATTGATGTCTTCATTTTTTTGGTAGACGCAGAAGAATTTCAACAACAGTAACTAAGGCTAAGTCGATCTATAATCTTGCATCTATTAAGATTATAAATATAAAATGAAGATATAATAGGATCCTTTCTTGCTTAAAATTCAAGTCTATTAGTCGCTTGAGATTTAAAATTTTTCTCTTTACCGTTCCATTGCGGGCAGGTGAGCAAGGCATTCAAAATATATTATAAAAAATATACTTATCTGAACAGATCTATAGCTTATATGTATTTTTATACCCATTGCCAACATGTTTGTGACGTCCAGAAGAACCCCACAAATCACATGTATATTATCGGATTCTAAATCGATTTAGGCATGTGCGTCTGTCCGTCTGCGTAATATCTGTTGCAAACATTCGCCTGTCCGCGAAAGCTCAGCCGTTGAGGTTAAGTTTGGCAGAAACATTGGAAGTTCTTGTTCGCAGCTTGGTCCAAACCGTCCGAAGGGTTCACCTACAGCACAACGTAATATCAGAATACCTCTGTTTTGCTAAAGGCATAAAAAATTGGTTAAAGCAGGTCCGTTCGTTTATCTGCCCGTCTACGCAAGTGTGTAGTAGCTGCGGTAAACATTCTCACGTTCGCAAAAACGGAGATATCCCCTACAAATTTGTAAAGAAAGTGGAAGTGACCTAAACTTTGCAAAAGGCACGCCTACAACGCCCATATACCTATATGACAAAAATTTGTATGTTGAAAGTAAAAAAATATCTGCTACACCATATTAAAAGCATTAAAATTTTGTTTTTAGTTTTTTTGTCTCTTTTAGAATAACGATGATCAGTAAAAAAGATTCGGTCAGGAACGATTATAATTTTCTTACTTGTTCAAAATAATAATGTTCCTTTTTACACTAAAATAACATAATCTTCAGGCTACTTCAGAACTCTTAAATTAACAGTGCTTTACACGAATGATTGCCATTTTTAATACGTTTTAAAAAGAATTTTCTTTAAATGCTTAAGACTAGACTTATGGAAATCGGTCAGTTTGACGCCAAATCGCCACAGACACAAAAATGAAAGCAGCAAGCTGAAATTTGGTGCGAAAAGCCCTTCATGGATTCAGAACGTAACTTTAAGAAATGGGGATGATATGTTCACAGACGCGCCGACAATACAGCAACCTCGGTAAATGTCGATTATTTTTTTATTGTTTTCAGTTTTTGTAGACATAGATGCGCAACATCACGTTTCCATCGAAATAGCAAGAGCGCACATGGCTCCGGCAGAAAAAACTAAGGCCAATAGTTAAGTTACATTTCACGTCAGAAACATAAACTTCTTGAGCCAAGAAGTTGCACTAAATTGTGTTTGCGAAATAAAATAAAATGAGGCTTGCTACTCACCTGGTATCCGGAAATAACCGATCAATCAAGCGAATATCGTGCAAGAGGTAAACGAAGACCAAGACTATTTCCAAAGTGACGGTGAAATCTATCTTCCCGGTGTTGTGCGCCTTGACCTCCTTCGACCGGGGCAAAGTGTTAACAAGGAATATTATTTGAGTTTACGGATTATTAGGAAGGCGACGAAATGGGTTTGGAATAATAAAAATTAAATTGGTCTTACTTTTTGAACATACATATATATTTACTGCATCATACCATTAAAAACCAGTAAATGTTATGTGGAAATGTTGACTGCCTTATGCTGAATTTTTAAAATCAAAAACCCTTCAAATTGGCGGGTGCCATAAATCTTCGGACATTATTAGCCTACCAACATTCCCTCCTTCCACAAAATTTGCTAAACATACCTTTCTTTTAGGTTGTTCCAGTGATCCTACCCTCTAAACAACACTAGGCATTACGATTATTTCTGGCCCAAGCTCTTTGTGAGTAATCCTAGAAATAACAAACAAAACAAAACAAATGATTCTTGATAGCTTTTCACACTCGCTTTGTACGGGTGTCCAAAAGCATTTGCAATTTGACGTTTGGTGTTTAAACAAATGCCGTCAGTTTGCCTAGAGAGGAAATCTGGTCCTAATTAAGAGAAAGTACCCAAGCATTTATAACTTGTGGTTTCTCCTACCATATATCTGCTTTAAAGGATATTTATGGACCCGTTCTTTTTTGTTTTTACCACAATGTTCACCTAATTGTTTCCCGTGACTTATAAGGAGATTTGTTTACCATACTAGCATTCGAACGGACTGCAGGCAATTATTAAAGGCATTTATTTTTACTGCTGCTTTTTTGTTTCCTTCAAGCCATTGTTTTTCAAGAGCACAATAAATAAAAATCTAATCGAGAATTGACGACAACTCGCATACTCTCTGCCTTCTCTTTGCTCTCAAACAAGTACTAGCTGCAATCCGTGTTGCTGGAATCAACTTTTTAACCTCAACGAACAAGACAAGAAGAGATCGATTGGATCATGTATTAGTTAAGTTGGTTCGTAATTTTGTAATTCAGAAAAGTTCAACAACCTCTTGTTTAGTCATTTTTTTTTTTTTTTTATTGATCCAACATAACATAAACAAAAAACTGCAACGACTATTACTAAAAATTTCAATTAAAATGTAACAACATAATGCGTAAGTGTTTGCTACCACACGTATACAAACATATAATATCATATGTATGTGTGTGTGTATGTACCTATGCGTATAAAATAGTGATCATTGGTTCTAATGATAACATTGCACTTAAAAATTGGCGACAAAATGATTAGGCGTCAATCAGACAGTCAGACTTACTCGTATAATACAAAGTAAGATGAAAACAAATAACGAAAGAGAACCAAATTTATGTAAATATGTGTATAAATGTATAAGTAATAAATACGTACACAAATATCGTACGATGAATAGATTATAACATAAGAGTCAGTCATGGATTCGATTGTTGGTTTTTTTTGAATGCGTATCGGTGTGCGTGAGTGCCAACATTAAGAACCGGCAAAAATAACTTGATTTCCTACATGCATAACTCATAGGCTTGGTTGGTATTGGTAGACTTTTTCAATTCATTTTTTTTTTTTTTCATTTTTTTTTTATAGTTTCTTTCCCAATTGTCAATATTTTCGGTCTGACAATTAAAAATTTCCTTAGTTTACTTTAGTTTAATTTTTTTTGATTCTTTTATTTTTTGTTTTATATAAATTTTTTTTTTTTTTTTTTAATCTATATGTTTACTGGTCTCAACTTGTATACCTAAGCCTGGTAATGTTTGGATATGTGCGTGGTTTTATCTGGTTTTTCGTTGAACTTTGTTAATATTCTACATTTAGTTGTAAGTTCTCCTTACATCGCTAAACAACGTTCTCGTAAATTGCAGGAATAGTGCTTATATGTGATTTATATATATATTTATAAAAAGAATTTATTTTAATTGCATAAAATCCTATCGAGTTTATTACAATCAGTGCTGAGAGTGATCTCCTTTTCAATTTTGCGTTAAAGTGAAAAGAAAAACTTTTCAATATATCCTAACGGTGATGGGGATATAAAATACTTCTTGTCTGGTGATGTTAAAAACAAAAGGTATCAAAATGTTTTCTCAAATCAAAAATGATTTTATTATTAACTCAATATTACTGAGCTCTTGGTATCAGAAGAAAAAAGCCGAAAGCGTTTGATGCGAAAGGTCAGAGCAGAAATACTCGCAAGCAAGATTGATATTTCATAACAATGACTTTGTCCTTGAGCACGTGTCCCGTTAAATTTGGTAAATCGTTCACAGCCATTAACTCTCTCATAGAGCTAGTTTTTGCTAGAGATGTTTCTTTAAAAGCGCAAAAGCAAGTTATATTCTAAAGAGACAAATCAGTTATGTATGACTCTTACTCCCCCAATTCGTGCAGCAATGCCCTCAATTTGACTTTCGGCGAAACCGCTTTTTCTAAAAGCAAAATGATGTTCTTTTCACTAAAGCAGATATGCTCTGATGAATATTTGCATCTAGGTTTTTGTTCTTTTTCCAAACGCTGCCTTTCCGCTGGGGCATGGCTTATTTGTCGGCTGACTCATTCTATTTTTCGGTTTTGCAATTCGGTATCATGCTAACAAACCTAGATTTTAGATTCGCCCTTAAATACCCTGCACCCACCACTTTTACCATAATATAGGGCAAGTTAGAACTTGTGGCCATATAAAGGATCGCTTTTCGTGGGAGCCATTTTAAGAATAGAAATCCGGGTAGTCCGAATAGCAGATCGATGTGAGTTGATTATGACAAAAAATTTGTATTTATATTTTAGAGAATGTCGTGCTCTTGATACAACTTGCATGGCATTGCAAGCGAATAAGGAATCTACGTCCCTCAAAAAGAAACCTTCTCCTTAGTGTTATTAACTTCCTAGTATTACTTGTGCAACAAGTGTGTAAAGCAACTACGTGATCTACAAAGAAATTTGACATCTAAAGATTAGCTCCAAAAATGTTCGGAGTACGTAATTCCTTTGGTGTCAAATAGGCTTTCTATCTCCTAAGAAGAATCCTGTATAATGAAGTCTTCAACATTTGAAAGATATTGTATTGTAAATTCAACCAACTATTGAGAAGTACGAGCGAGACAGATATTAATCTAAAAACCTTAATAAAACTCGCAATTTTACAATTTTTCACACCTTTGTTTTTTTTTTTTTTTACAGATCATCAATTTCCTATTGATTTAACCAATGTAGCCAAAGATCATACTAATCTTGAAAATGATCAATTGCAGTCACTCTATAGGCGCTTGTGCGTGTTAAATCGTTGCGCGAATATGCGCATTGATCAATCACACAAGGCTCAGACGCCACAGGTACATGATTCAGAAAATGCTTTTAAAATAATCCCAAAGTTTGAAACACCACCATTAATTTTCCAATTCTTTCTCTCTCTCTCTCCCTTCTTCCCTCTCTCGCTTTCGTTTTTTAAATACAGAAAGAAGATTCAGATGATGAAAATTTTGCTTTAAGTGAAAATTGGACATTCCAGCCTCATATACGACGGTGGTCGCGTATCGGTGAAATGGGTCTTGAGATACCGCCAGTCACAAAGTTAACCGCTGAGAAAACTGAAAGTTCATCCAAAGAATCAAGTCCCGAACGTTTCGAAGATGATGCTTATGACTTGTCAGGTGCGGCTTTATCTTTGACCGTACCCGGTGCTTATGCTGACGAATTAACAGACATATCGTTAGACGCGAATGCCAGTCCTTTACGCAGAACTGGGAGCGAACGTTTAAAAGATGGGGCCAAGGCGTTTCTAAGGAGAGTTGAGTCCATAAAATCGAGACGTCGAAAACGTCAGGGCATTGTACTAAGCGGTCCCCAAGCTTTGGAACTCTCTCAACTTGGTCAACGCGGTGGCAATAGAAAACCAGAAGTTATATATTCAACACCTCCCTCCCCATCAGCAGTAAGTCCTGAGCACACGTTTCATAAACCACCATTTTTTGGCAATGAATTGAAAGTTCCATCACAAAGTGACCATTATTTAAGTCCGAACCGTGTAAGTCCAAAAAAGGTACCTTCAACACCGAGATCTATGCGAGCTAGTCCTTTGCATTTTTTCACAAACACTATGCCACATCTCAAGGAGGGAAAATCGGATGATTCATCTTCATACTATAGCGATAGTCAGGAGTCCTCTTCAACTGTAAATAAGTGTACTGTACGTAAAACTCCATCCAAAACACGTAGATTTCTGCAGAGAAGCGGTAAAGTAGACGATATCGGAGCCCATTCAGATTCCGAATGCCATCAGGGTAGAAAACTTTTGATAAAAGATGCCAATTCTAATACGACGGAAGTAAAAATGAAGAAGTTGTCGCGCGGAGGTTCTTTAAATTTAGGTCGAGATGGAAAGAGAAAAGAAAGTTCACGATCGGCTAGCTTTCGTTCACGCTCAACGAGCAGAAAAGAAGCTAAGCCTCCTCAAGAAGAAAACGATAATGTGAAAAAGACTCCTGTAGTAAGATGGCACAGTTTTCAAATGACCGAACGTCCCAATATGATATTCCGAAAATGTTTCTCCCAAAAAAATGATCCTCATATAAATGAATACGGAGTACCCTTCGCTGCGATGTCCGCCGGTCAGTTACAAATGTTAAGAAAACTGGCTCTAGTCATACTCACCGGTTACATGGAACGCTATTGCCCTACACATCGTTCCGGTTGGAATTGGGAATTGCCGAAATTCATCAAAAAAATAAAAATGCCAGATTATAAAGACAAAAAGGTATTTGGTGTACCACTGTTGCTTATACTGCAACGCACCGGACAAACTTTGCCGATAGCCGTAAGGGCAGCATTGCGTTGGCTGCAATTGAATGCTTTAGATCAAATTGGCCTCTTCCGTAAAAGCGGGGTGAAATCGCGAATATTAAAATTGAAAGAACTTATCGAATACTCAGAATCTACAACGGAGTGCATGGACGTCTACGATACCCAACAGGCGTACGATGTAGCCGATATGTTGAAGCAATATTTTCGTGACTTACCCGAATCGTTGTTGACTACCAAAATGTCGGAAACATTTGCTACCATCTTTCAACGTAAGTAAACAATTTACAGAAATCGTTCCCGTCCTAAATCTTTAGGAAAAGCTCTTATAAAGAATTTCATTCAGAGTTACTTTAAGAATAACATGAAGTCAATTTATTTACATGCTTGACCGTCATGCAATGGGCAAGATAAGCAAGATGGGCATCACCCTTTTTTTTTGTATAAAAGTTGTGGTTGTGGGATAATGTGCCTAGTGGACCAGTTTTAGTAAGCACAACGAGCACTTTAGGATGAATTGGACATGAAGTGACGACATCTCGTCTACAGAGGCGCATTAAAAGACAGTATCAACTGCTATTGACGGACGAAGGGTTAACCAAATCGGTGGATGCATACATATTGACTACACACGACTACTACACAGACTACATATAAGCGAGGCTTAGTTTAAAAGCATTGTCAACTTCCAACGCGTTTAGCTTACTTAAATTCTTATACGAATGTATTTATTGATTTCCAGATTTACCCAATGAAGTACGTTTAGATGCTGTTCAATGTGCCGTCCTATTGTTACCCGATGAAAATCGCGAAATTCTCTACGCGTTATTAGAATTTTTAACGTTAGTTGCCGCCAATGCTCAGTACAATCAAATGACTGCCAACAATCTGGCTGTGTGTTTGGCTCCATCACTTTTTCACAATAATATATCAACTGGTAGTAGTTCGGTAACAGCTTCGCCACGTCGCAAAGGCAAAGGATCCGGTGTACCGGATGCCAAAGAACTGTTTGAGGCGAAAGCCTCGCACGAGTGTTTGGCTTTTATGATAGAAAATTACAAGCAAATCTATACAGCGTCTAAGGAGAAGCTCAGCAAATGTAAATTCGGTTATATGGAAGAGTCGAAACCACTGCCGTTGGAGGCCTTAGGTGAGGGTATGCAATTTCATAATTGGCGCGGCTATTTGTATGAGAGTACAAGCGCTACCATTAAGGAGGGCAGAGAAAAGTAAGTCTCTCAAGGATTTAAGTTTCATTCGATTTTTATCACTGTTTTTTTTCCATTACTTGCAGATCGCGAGGTTGGATAACAATTAATTCCTTAACCGATGCAAATGTGGAAATCGCTTATAAGAAAGTTGGCGATGGTCATCCCTTGCGTTTGTGGCGTTGCATTACCGAAATGGAGGGACCGCCTAAAGAAGTTTTAGAGTATATAATTAAACAGCGCGCCTCTTGGGACCCTCAACTCTTGCAAAGTTTAATTGTTAAGAAATTGGATGACTGCACCGAAATATTCCAGTATGCTCTAGATGGGCAGCAAATAACGGATTATTGTGTATTAAGGTAAAAAGAGAGAAAGTGAGAGAGGGAGAAAGAGAGAGAGGCAGAAAGATCTAACTACACTATTAAAAATTTTACTTTTCCAGATCATGGCGTTCAGATTTACCGCGTGGAGCTTGTGTTATTGTCGAAACTTCTATAGATCATCCGAAGGCCAGGCCGATGTTTAATGCTGTGCGTGGTGTGGTCTTGGCCTCACGTTATCTCATTGAACCATGCGGCAGTGGTCGTTCACGAATTATGCATTTGGCCCGAGTTGATGTTAAGTAAGATTGCAAAAACTAACGAACTAATGAAAATTTTTAATCTAAAATTTTTAATTAAAAATCTAATTTTTTTTTTCCACACAGAGGTAAAACGCCCGAATGGTATAATAAAAGTTACGGTCACATAGCATCGCATTATTTAACACGAATACGTTTAGCGTTCAAAAGTGTAGCCGATGGACCTGAAAGTAAAGTTTAAGCCTTTGGTTGCCGCAAGGAAAAAGGACATCGCAAATAAATAAATAAATAAATAAAGTGAACAAAGCGAAAAGAAAACGAAATATATTGAGTTTCTGCTTAACTAAAATATAAGCGCGCAAATTGTGTTTAAATGCGAAAAAATGTCTCAAAAATATTCAAAGCATTTATTAAATGTTTTTACATGTAAAAGCAATTTTTCATTGAATGTATAAATTTTTAGAAAATTTTTACAAACACATCGTATTCAATACCCAGGACCAGATTTAAAAAAGAAAACCAATAATCCCAAAAAAAAAAAAAAAAAAAAAGAAATGCAAAACAAAAAAAACAACAACAATTTGTATATATTTAAGAA